AGACAGAGACACACACAGAGAGAGACACACACAGAGAGACACAGAGACACAGACAGAGAGACACAGACAGAGACACACACAGAGAGACACACACAGAGATAGACACACACAGAGAGACACACACAGAGAGACACACACAGAGAGACACACAGAGAGAGACACACAGAGAGACACAGAAAGAGAGACAGAGACACAGACAGAGACACACAGACAGAGACACAGAGACAGAGACACACAGACAGAGACACAGACACACAGACAGAGAGGCACACAGACAGATACACAGAGAGAGAAACACACAGACAGAGACACAGAGACACAGACAGAGAGGCACACAGACACACACACACAGAGACACACACACAGAGAGACACTCACAGACAGAGAGACACACAGAGAGAGACACACACAGACAGAGACACACACGGAGACACACAGACACACACAGAGACACACAGACAGAGACACAGATAGAGACACACACAGACACACACACAGACAGACACACACACAGAGACACAGACAGACACACACACACATAGACACAGAGAGACACCCAGGGTGAGGCCGCCATCCAGCAGTGGAGAGACGTTTGCCCTCTCTCACCTCCTTCCGCAGCTCCGACGGCCCGGCGCCTTGCCCCGACCTCGACCTGACCTTGACCCCGGCGAAGGTCGCCCCTCCGGGCCCCGTGGGGGGCCGGGAACCGGGCGACCTCGACCTTGACCCCGGCCTTGACCCCGGCCTTGACCACGACCACGACCCCGACCTTGACCACGACCCCGGCCTGGACCCGGCGAGGTCGCGACCCCTGGCGGGGCGCGGGGTGGGGCCCTGGGGTCGGAGGCCGACCTCCGACCCCGACCCCGAGCTCGACCTCTCGGCGACCTCGGGGTCGGAGGTCGCGCCGGCCGTCGGCATCCTGAGGAGGGAGGGGAGGCCGCGTGGGGACAGCGAGCGGAGTCGGCAGGTTCGTCATCATCATCAGCATCATCAGTATCATCATCATCTGTAATATCATCATCAGGTTCGTCATCATCATCATCAGTAACATCATCATCATCTGTAGCATCATCATCATCTCTAGCATCATCATCATCTGTAGCATCATCATCATCAGTAGCATCATCATCAGCTGTAGCATCATCATCAGTAGCATCATCATCAGCAGGTTCGTCATCATCATCATCATCTGTAGCATCATCAGCATCATCATCATCAGTAGCATCATCATCATCTGTAGCATCATCATCAGTAGCATCATCATCAGCAGGTTCGTCATCATCATCTGTAGCATCATCATCATCATCAGTAACATCATCATCAGGTTCGTCATCATCATCATCAGTAACATCATCATCAGGTTCGTCATCATCATCTGTAGCATCATCATCATCAGCTGTAGCATCATCATCATCAGTAACATCATCATCAGGTTCGTCATCATCATCTGTAGCATCATCATCAGTAACATCATCATCTGTAGCGTCATCATCAGTATCATCATCATCAGTAACATCATCATCAGCAGGTTCGTCATCATCATCTGTAGCATCATCATCAGTAGCATCATCATCAGGTTCGTCATCATCATCATCTGCATCAGCATCATCATCATCAGGTTCGTCATCATCATCTGTAGCATCATCATCATCAGTAACATCATCAGCAGCAGGTTCGTCATTATCATCTGCATCATCAGTATCATCATCAGTAGCAGTAGCATCATCAGCAGTATCATCATCAGCAGGTTCGTCATCATCATCATCATCAGCAGCAGCAGCAGTAGCATCATCATCAGCAGGTTCGTCATCATCATCAGCATCAGCAGTGGCATCATCATCAGCAGCAGTAGTATCATCATCAGCAGGTTCGTCATCATTATCATCAGTAACATCATCATCAGCAGTGGCAGCAGCATCAGCAACAGTATCATCAGCAGCAGCAGTGTCATCATCATCAGCATCAGCAGTAACATCATCATCAGCAGTAGTATCATCAGCAGGTTCGTCATCATCATCATCAGTAACATCATCATCAGCAGTGGCAGCAGCATCAGCAACAGTATCATCAGCAGCAGTATCATCATCAGCAGCAGCAGTGTCATCAGCATCAGCAGTATCATCATCATCAGCAGCAGTATCATCAGCAGCAGTGGCATCATCATCAGCAGTGGCATCAGCAGCAGCAGTATCATCATCATTATCAGCATCAGCAGTGTCATCATCATCAGCAGCAGCGTCATCAGCAGCAGTGGCATCATCATCGGCATCAGCAGTATCATCAGCAGCAGCATCAGCAGCATCAGCAGCAGTATCATCATCAGCAGTAGCATCATGAGTAGCAGCATCGTCAGCAGCAGTAGCATCGTCATCGGTAGCATCATCAGCAGTTTCATCATCATCAGCAGCAGTAGTATCATCAGCAGCATCACCATCAGCAGCATCGTCATCAGTAGCATCATCAGCAGTATCATCAGCAGCAGTAGTATCATCAGCATCATCAGCAGCAGCACCATCAGTAGCATCATCAGCAGTTTAATCATCATCAGCAGTGGCATCATCATCAGCAGCAGCATCAGCAGCAGTATCATAATCATCAGCAGGAGCATCATCAGTAGCAGCATCATCAGCAGCAGTAGCATCGTCATCGGTAGCATCATCAGCAGTTTCATCATCAGCAGTAGTATCATCAGCAGCATCATCATCAGCAGCATCATCAGCAGCATCATCAGCAGTATCATCATCAGCAGCAGTAGTATCATCAGCAGCATCACCATCAGCAGCATCATCATCAGTAGCATCATCATCATCAGTAGCAGCATCATCATCAGTATCAGCAGCATCGTCATCAGCACCACCACTATCACCATCATGACCATCACCACCATCACCACCACCATCAACGTTATCACCATCACCACCACCACTATCACCACCTCCAGTATCACCACCATCACCACTACCATTACTATCATCACCATCACCACCATCATCACCACCATCACCACCATCACCATCACTACCATCATCACCATCATCACCACCACCATCACCACCATCACCATCATCACCACCACCACCACCACCATCACCACCACCATCACCACCACCACTATCACCACCACCACCATCACCACCATCATCATCACCACCATCACCATCACCACCATCATCACCATCACCACCATCATCACCATCACCACCATCATCACCATCACCACCACCATCATCACCATCACCACCATCACCACCATCATCACCATCACCACCATTACCATCACTACCATCAACATGACCACTACTATCACCACCACTATCACCATCACCACCACCATCACTGCCACCACCATCACCACCTCCACTATCACCATCATCACCACCACCACCACCATCTCTACCATCTACATCATCACCACCATCACCACCACCATCACCACCATCACCACCATCACCACCCATCATCACCACCACTATCACCACCACCACCGTCACCACCTCCACTATCACCATCATCACCACCATCACCATCATCACCACCATCACCACTACCACCACCACCACCACCATCATCGCCATCGCTACCATCACCGCCGTTAACACCACCATCACCTACTCCAGGTTCGTTTCCATGCCCTTGATGGCGATGGCGGTGACGGTGGTGAGAACACCACCGACATTGTGAGCAACGGTGTTGATGAGGAGGTGGAGGAGGAGGTGGAGGAGGAGGTGGAGGAGGGGGTGGAGGAGGAGGGGAGAGATAAGGAAGACGTCACAGAGGAAAGTCCGGAGCGTCGGTGCGGACCTGGACCCCCTCCAGATCCACTCCGTGGGAACTCGCTGCTCGGTCTGGAAAGGGAAAGCAGTGAGTGACTCGCTCACTCAGTCACCCACTCACTCACCCACTCACTCACTCACCCACCCACTCACTCACTCACTCATCCACTCACTCATCCACTCACTCATCCACCCACTCACCCACCCACTCACTCACTCATCCACTCACCCACTCAGTCACCCACTCACTCACTCACCCACTCACTCATCCACCCCCTCACTCACTCACCCACTCACTCAACCACTCACTCACTCACCCACTCACTCACCCACTCACCCCCTCACTCACCCACTCACTCATCCACTCACTCATCCACTCACTCACCCACTCACTCATCCACTCACTCACTCACCCACTCACCCACCCACTCACCCACCCACTCACTCACTCATCCACTCACTCATCCACTCACTCATCCACTCACTCACCCACTCACTCATCCACTCACTCATTCACCCACTCACTCACTCACCCACTCACTCACTCATCCACTCACTCACTCATCCACCCAGTCACTCACTCACTCATCCACTCACCCACTCACTCACTCATCCACCCACTCACCCACTCACTCACTCACCCACTCTCTCATCCACCCCCTCACTCATCCACCCCCTCACTCATCCACCCACTCACTCACTCACTCACCCACTCACTCATCCACACACTCATCCACCCACTCACTCATCCCCTTACTCATCCACCCACGCACTCACTCATCCACTCATTCATCCACCCCCTCACTCATCCACTCATCCACCCCCTCACTCATCCACCCACTCACTCATCCACCCCCTCACTCATCCACACTCTCACTCATCCACTCACTCATCCACTCACTCATTCACCCACTCACTCATCCACCCCCTCACTCATCCACCCACTCACTCACCCACTCACTCACCCACTCACTCATCCACCCACTCACTCATCCCCTTACTCATCCACCCACTCACTCATCCACTCACTCATCCACCCCCTCACTCATCCACCCACTCACTCACTCATCCACTCACTCACTCATCCACCCCCTCACTCTTCCACCCACTCACTCATCCCCTTACTCATCCACCCACTCAACCACTCATCCACCCACTCACTCATCCACCCACTCACTCACTCATCCACTCACTCATCCACACACTCATCCACCCACTCACTCATCCACTCACTCACTCACTCATCCACCCCCTCACTCATCCACCCCCTCACTCATCCACCCATCCACCCCCTCACTCATCCACCCACTCACCCACTCACTCATCCACCCACCCAATCACTCGTTCACTTACCCACCCACTCACTCGCTCACCCACCCACTCACTCGCTTACCCCCCCACTCACTTGCTCACTCACTCACTCACCCACTCACTCACCCCCCCACTCACTTGCTTGCTCACCCACTCGCTCATCCACACACTCACTCATCCACCCACCCACTCACTCATCCACCCACCCACTCACTCACCCACTCACTCACCCACCCACTCACTTGCCTGCTCACCCACTCACTCACTTGCCTGCTCACCCACTCACTCATCCACCCACCCACTCACTCACCCACCCACTCACTCACCCACCCACTCACTCACCCACCCACTCACTTGCTTGCTCACCCACTCACTCATCCACACACTCACTCATCCACCCACCCACTCACTCACCCACCCACTCACTCACCCACTCACTCACCTACTTGCTCACCCATCCACCAACTCATCCACTCGTCCACCCACAAATCCACTCACCCACTCGCCCACCCACTCGCCCACCCACTAATCCACCCACCCACTCGCCCACCCGCTCATTTATTCACCCCCCCCACCCCCCCCCCCCCCCCCCGAGAGGTCACGACCTTGCGCGACCCCAGATGAACTCTAGTGCCGGGCTGGGGTGGCAGCTGCGGTGCATTGTGGGGGAGCGCTTCGAGGGGCGGAGGGCGGCCGTCGCCGACCTGAGGAGCAACGGGCAGCGGAGGAGAAGGCTCGCTCACGTGGCCTCACGCGGTCAGCTTCACCACGGGGGGTTCACCACAGGTTCACCACAGCTTCACCACGGGTTCACCACGGGTTCAACACAGGTTCACGTGGCCTCACGTGGTCAGCTTCACCACTGGGGGGTTCACCACGGGTTCACGTGGCCTCACGTGGTCAGCCTCACCACTGGGGGGGTTCACCACGGGTTCACGTGGCCTCACGTGGTCAGCTTCACCACTGGGGGGTTCACCACAGGTTCACGTGGCCTCACGTGGTCAGCCTCACCACTGGGGGGGTTCACCACAGGTTCACGTGGACTCACGTGGTCAGCCTCACCACTGGGGGGGTTCACCACGGGTTCACGTGGCCTCACGTGGTCAGCTTCACTACTGGGGGGTTCACCACGGGTTCACGTGGCCTCACGTGGTCAGCCTCACCACTGGGGGGGTTCACCACAGGTTCACGTGGCCTCACGCGGTCAGCTTCACCACGGGGGGGGTTCACCACAGGTTCACGTGGCCTCACGTGGTCAGCTTCACCACGGGGGGGGTTCACCACAGGTTCACGTGGCCTCACGTGGTCAGCTTCACCACGGGGGGTTCACCACAGGTTCACGTGGCCTCACGTGGTCAGCTTCACCACGGGGGGTTCACCACAGGTTCACGTGGCCTCACGTGGTCAGCTTTACCACGGGGGGTTCACCACAGGTTCACCACAGGTTCACCACGGGTTCACCACAGGTTCACCACGGGTTCACCACGGGTTCACCACAGGTTCACGTGGCCTCACGTGGTCAGCTTCACCACGGGGGGTTCACCACAGGTTCACGTGGCCTCACGTGGTCAGCTTCACCACGGGGGGTTCACCACAGGTTCACGTGGCCTCACGTGGTCAGCTTCACTACGGGGGGGTTCACCACGGGGGGGTTCACCACAGGTTCACCACGGGTTCACCACGGGCTCACCACAGGTTCACGTGGCCTCACGTGGTCAGCTTCACCACGGGGGGCTTCACCACGGGGGGGTTCACCACAGGGTTCACCACGGGGGGGTTCACCATGTCTGCACCATGGGTTCACCACAGACGGGTTCACCACGGGTTCACCACCGGAGGGATTACCATGGCTGAGTTTGGCTGGGTTTACCAGGGATGGGTTCACCACGGCCGGGTTCACCATAGATGGTTCACCATAGATGGTTCACCACGGCTGGGTTCACCATAGATGGTTCACCATAGATGGTTCACCATAGATGGTTCACCATAGATGGTTCACCATAGATGGTTCACCACGGCTGGGTTCACCACGGCCGGGTTCACCATAGATGGTTCACCATAGATGGTTCACCATAGATGGTTCACCATAGATGGTTCACCACGGCTGGGTTCACCATAGATGGTTCACCATAGATGGTTCACCATAGATGGTTCACCATAGATGGTTCACCACGGCCGGGTTCACCATAGATGGTTCACCATAGATGGTTCACCATAGATGGTTCACCACGGCTGGGTTCACCATAGATGGTTCACCATCTATGGTGAACCATAGATGGTTCACCATAGATGGTTCACCATAGATGGTTCACCACGGCTGGGTTCACCACGGCCGGGTTCACCATAGATGGTTCACCATAGATGGTTCACCATAGATGGTTCACCACAGCCGGGTTCACCATAGATGGTTCACCATAGATGGTTCACCATAGATGGTTCACCATAGATGGTTCACCATAGATGGTTCACCACGGCCGGGTTCACCATAGATGGTTCACCATAGATGGTTCACCATAGATGGTTCACCATAGATGGTTCACCACGGCCGGGTTCACCATAGATGGTTCACCATAGATGGTTCACCATAGATGGTTCACCACGGCTGGGTTCACCATAGATGGTTCACCATCTATGGTGAACCATAGATGGTTCACCATAGATGGTTCACCATAGATGGTTCACCACGGCTGGGTTCACCACGGCCGGGTTCACCATAGATGGTTCACCATAGATGGTTCACCATAGATGGTTCACCATAGATGGTTAACCACGGCTGGGTTCACCATAGATGGTTCACCACGGCCGGGTTTGCCGTCTAAACATATTAACATATCATGACATTAACATATCATTATATTAACATATACATCTATTTACATATCGCTACATTAACATATCATTATATTAACGTGTACTTTTATTAACATATCACTACATTAACATATAATTATATTAACATATAAATATATTTACATATCACTGCATTAACATATCATATTAACATGTTATTTTATTAACATATCACTACATTAACATATCATTATATTAGAATATCATAGCATTAGCATATCATATATAACCATATTATATTAACATTTTACGACATTAACATATCACGACATTAGCATATAATTGTATTAACATTATATTAACATATCACGACATCAACATATCACTACATTAACATATTACATTAACATATCACGACATTAACATATCATAACATTGACATTTAATGACATTCACTTATCACTACATTAACATATCACGACATTAATATAGCATAACATTGCCAGTTTGTGACATTAACATATCATTATATTAACATATCATTGCATTACCTTATCATTATATTAGCATATCATTACATTACCATATCATTATATTGACATATCATTACATCACCATATCATTATATTAACATATCATTATATTAACATATCATTGCATTACCTTATCATTATATTAGCATATCATTACATTACCATATCATTATATTGACATATCATGACATCACCATATCATTATATTAACATATCATTATATTAACATTTCATTATATTAACATATCATTGTATTAACATATCATTGTATTAACATATCATTATATTAACATATCATTATATTAACATATCATTATATTAACACATTCATTATATTAACACATCATTATATTAACACATCATTATATTAACATGTTATTATATTAACACATCATTATATTAACATGTCATTATATTAACATATCAATATATTAACACATCATTATATTAACATATCATTATGTTAACATATCATTATATTAACACATCATTATATTAACACATCATTATATTGACACATCATTATATTGACACATCATTATATTGACATATCATTATATTGACATATCATTATATTGACATATCATTATATTGACACATCAGTATATTGACACGTCATTATATTAACATGTTATTATATTAACACATCATTATATTAACATGTCATTATATTAACACATCATTACATTAACATATCATTATATTAACATATCATTACATTAACATGTAATTATATTAGCATGTAATTATATTAACATGTAATTATATTAACATATCATTTTATTAACATATCATTATATTGACATATCATTATATTGACATATCATTATATTGACATATAATTATATTGACATATTTTTATATTAACACATCAATATATTAACACATAATTATATTAACACATCATTATATTAACATGTCATTATATTAACACATCATTATATTAACATGTAATTATATTGACATGTGTATCTCTCTGTCTCCCCCATGCCCCAGCGCTGAACGTGCCGCGTGCTGAGTGTCGCTTCCGGGGCCTCGTGAGTCTCGAGGTGGAGGCGGAGTCCCTGCAGCAGCAGCAGCAGCATCATCAGCATCATCATCATCATCAGCAGCAGCAGCATCAGCTGCAGCAGGGAGTCCGTCTCCTCGTTGCTTGCAGCAGCAGCAGCAGCAGCAGCAGGGACGTCGCTCACAGCACGGGGCGCAGGGTACGGGGGCAGGTGGGGGTGAGACGTTGGGGGGGGGGGGGTGAGACGTTGGGGGGGGGGGGGGGTGAGACGTGGGGGGGGTGGGGTGGGTGTAGAGGTGAGTGCCACTAACCTAATGCCCTCCTCCCCCCCTCCCTCCCTCCCTCCCACCCCCCCACCCTCCCCCCCCCCCCCCCAGCCCCCCCCAGGCGAGACCCCCCAGCTGTGGACGGCGTGGAGATGCCTGGTGGGACCCAGGGGCATTGTGGGTGAGGGCAGCGGGGGAGGGGCGGAGGAGCCACCACCACCGCCGCTGCTGCTGCCCCCGCTAAGCGTGGCTCCACTCGCTGCCCTGCCCCGGAGGGAGAGGGCAGGGCTGGCGTGGACACGGGCACAGTGGTGATGGGGTGGGTGGGTGGGTGAGTGGGTGGGTGGGTGAGTGGGTGAGTGGGTGGGTGAGTGGGTGAGTGGGTGGGTGAGTGGGTGGGTGGGTGAGTGAGTGGGTGGGTGGGCGGGTGGGTGGGTGAGTGAGCGGGCGAGTGGGTGAGTGGGTGGGTGAGTGGGTGGGTGGGTGGGTGAGTGGGTGGGTGAGTGGGTGGGTGGGTGAGTGAGTGGGTGGGTGGGTGAGTGAGTGGGTGGGTGGGTGGGTGAGTGAGTGAGTGGGTGGGTGAGTGGGTGGGTGGGTGGGTGAGTGAGTGAGTGGGTGAGTGGGTGAGTGGGTGGGTGGGTGAGTGGGTGGGTGGGTGAGTGGGTGGGTGGGTGGGTGAGTGGGTGGGTGGGTGGGTGAGTGGGTGGGTGGGTGGGTGGGTGAGTGGGTGGGTGGGTGGGTGGGTGAGTGGGTGGGTGGGTGGGTGGGTGAGTGGGTGGGTGGGTGGGTGAGTGGGTGAGTGAGTGAGTGAGTGGATGAGTGGGTGGGTGGGTGAGTAAGTGAGTGAGTGGGTGAGTGGGTGGGTGAGTGGGTGGGTGGGTGAGTGCGTGGGTGGGTGAGTGCGTGGGTGGGTGAGTGCGTGGGTGGGTGAGTGCGTGGGTGAGTGGGTGGGTGGGTGGGTGAGTGAGTGGGTGGGTGAGTGAGTGGGTGGGTGAGTGAGTGGGTGGGTGAGTAGGTGAGTGGGTGGGTGAGTAAGTGGGTGAGTGAGTGGGTGAATGAGTGTGTGAGTGAGTGGGTGAGTGAGTGAGTGGGTGAGTGGGTGGGTGAGTGAGTGAGTGGGTGAGTGAGTGGGTGAGTGAGTGAGTGGGTGTGTGAGTGAATAGGTGAATGTCTGTGTGTGTGTGTGGGGGGAGTGGTGGTGTAGTGGTTAGCGCTACGCCGCGCTACAAACTCGAGCTGACGATTATCTGAACCGGTCCTGGGCCTCCCCGGGGTCGACTCAGCCTCAAGTGAGCACCTGGTGCCGTAGTAAACATCGCTAGCACTGGGGGAGACAAAGGCGGCCGGGCGTGGTGCTGGCCACCCACCCCCTCTGTGTGTGCCACAGTGCCGGTAGCCTTCATAGGGTGCTGCTCGCTAACAGCACTTGCCCCTTACAGTCTGTTACAGGCTACACGGGGAATCTTTGTCTGTGCGTGGTGATTCCTAATAAAGATTTGTACGGTTTATACACACGGGCGTTGCAAACTCTTGAGTCTCGAGGTTCACGGTGGTCGTGTGGGTGGGTGGGGTTCACGGTGTCCGTGTGGGTGGGTGGGGTTCACGGTGGCTGTGTGGGTGGGTGGGGTTCACGGTGGCCCTGTGGGTGGGGTTCACGGTGTCCGTGTGGGTGGGTGGGGTTCACGGTGGCCGTGTGGGTGGGTGGGGTTCACGACGGCCGTGTGGGTGGGTGGGGTTCACGGTGGCCGTGTGGGTGGGTGGGGTTCACGGTGGCCGTGTCAGACACACTTAAGATCCTAAGTGCAGTACACGCTCCCGGCCACTAGAGACTGCTATCAGTTGTGATATCAGTCAGGGCAGTCTGTACAACAACAACAACTACCGCCATTCGCCACTAAGCGGCGGCGACGTCACCACGACGCTTGTGCTAGGCCACGTGCACCTTGAGGCCACGTGAAGTGTCGAACGCCCGCTGGCAGGAGGTCACGGGTCGACTGACTGAGACGACTGGCTGATGCACCACCTGTGCCCCCTACTGTGCCAACCTGCTGTGCTTTATCCACCCGGCGCTCCGCTCGTTGTTGTGAGCGACGCGCGCACACACATGCCCCAAAACCCTCCCACAGCATCTCGCTTTGGAGCAGTTCCGGATTTTCCGAGTGTCGTGACTAACTCGGACACGTTAAGACTGGGAGGCACTTACTTAATTTGACGAGCACAATCGGTATAATACTGAACGATTAATCGATTTCAAATCGCAATTTGAAACGATGCGATGAGGAATTCGCAAAGGCTACGTTTTTGTTGTTGCCGGAACAGCGTGTTGGTAATTACAAGCCCATGGGCTGCACAAAAATCTAGCAGCCTCCTACCGTTGTTATTGAGCTGATCTGGCCCATGCCCCTCCAATCACTCCAGACCAGGTGCCAGCATCATTGACCAACTCGGGCATTGAAGTCACCCAACATGATGACTCTATCCCAAGGGGCCACTTTAGCCAGCACCTGTGACAGGAGGTCATAAAATGCATCTGACTCATCGGCCTTGCCTGCATCCCTCCACGGATGTTCATCTTCGGTGGGGGCATAAGTAACCACGACCACCATTCCTCGCCTCCGGTTGACGGGAAGGCGAGCCCAAAGTAACCTGGGGCTTACAGATTCCCACACCTCACCGCCACGCTCCCACGCCCCCTTCATTCTTTTGTTCATAAGAAGAGCCACACGCTGTTGTTTGGCAGTCTGCTGCCCCGAGTAGAGGACTGTCCACCCCTCATGGTGGCAGGAGCCAGAGCCGGTCCACCGGACCTCCTGAATGCCGCAGAGATCCAGGCGGTACCGTTCAAGCTCCCAACAGAGGAGTGGCAGCCTTTTCCTCCGCAGTGAGCGTGTGAACATTCCACGTGGCCATCCGTAGTGGCTTTTCGTTGTTTCTCGAGGAGCCCCGAGGGTAAAGATTCAATCTCCTGGCTCCGCCAATTGGGGTTTGGCCAGGAGACATCATAGATGCCTGTCCCCCCGGGGCCTCTGGCACAAGCTTATTAATTATAACATTTCCATGGTTTTGTGGTAATGTATTGAAGGTGGAGGTGTTACCAGCCCCTCGCACCCGTCCAGAGCCCTTATTTGGCCACTGTGGTGGTGACAGACGCCCTGAGGGGAAAGGCCAATCGGAATTGGGCCTCCCTCCCACAGCATTGTCCACAACAGCATTGCCCATCCATTGCCCATCCAGCACCATAGACACACACAGACACACATAGATACACACAGAGATACAGATACACACAGATACACACAGAGACAGACACACACACAGACACACGCAGACACGCAGACACATACACAGACACACACAGACACACACATAGATACACACACAGACAACAATAACCGCCATTCGCCACTAAGTGGTGGTGACGTCACCACGACGCTTGTGCCAGGCCATGTGCACCTTGAGGCCACGCGAAGTGTCAAACTCCCGCTGGCAGGAGGTCACGGGGCGGACCCAGCAGGTGCCACGGGTCGACTGACTGAGATGACTGGCTGATGCACCACCTGTGCCCCCTACTGTGCCAACTTGCTGTGCTTTAGCAACCCGGCGCTCCGCTCGTTGTTGTGAGCGTCGCTCCTCCGCCCTCCATTGCTGTTGGAGGGCGACTACCTCCAACTGCCCAGTAGCGTCCTTCACGAGCCTCCTCCACAGAGGCCGATCGTGACACCGCTGGTACCAGTCATCGGCAAGTCCACTCCACTCCACATCCTCATGTACCACATCACTCCATCTCTTCTCTAGCCCGTGCCGCGCCCGTTTAGCCCCCTCGATCCGGCCGAACAAAAGCTGTTTCGGCATGCGGTGGCTGCGCATGCGGGCTACATGACCCAGCCAACGCAACCTTGCCTGCAGGAAGAGCTCACCGATGGGACTTTGTCCATATCTTTCGAGGATTTGTGAGCTCCTCACACAATCCAGCCTGGTTTAACCCAGGATTGATCGTAGGCAGGCTAGCCTAAATGTTTCTAACCGGCAGAGATGTTCCATTAGGGGGGTCCACGTTTCACAAGCGTAGAGAAGGGAGGGAATGACTGTGGCCGAGAAGACCCGAAGCTTCGTGTGGAGCGACAGACCAGGTAGCTTCCACACAGCGTTACATAACCGATGGAAAGAAAATGCCGCTCGACTGATTCAGAGTGAGACCTCTGCTGTTCAACCGGAGCCGGTCATGAGCACACTGCCCAGATATGGGAAACTCTCCACTTTCTCCACAACTGCCCCATCACCGATTGAGAGTTGTGGGGGTGGAGTGTCCGATGGTACAAAATACCCAGGCAGGTGCTTCGATTTAGTGGGGCTGATGGTAAGGCCCCACTTCTAGTGGCACACTCCAGTTTCAGCAGCAGCACCTCTAACTCCTCCTCTGAATGAGCCGCATTTACCAGTTCGTTGGCATACATAACGTGGTTGAGCAATAGGGAGCCATCCCTTGACTGCACCCGGGCATCGATCAGCCTCCCATTGTGTCTGTACCAAATGGAGATTCCCCCGGTACAGCTATTGAAGGCTTCACGAATTACATGGTCAAAATAGATGTTAAATAATGTGGGAGCCAGAGGACATCCCTGTCGCACCCCAAGGTGTACAGGGAATGGCTGTGACTCCCGGCCACGTAGTTTTACCTGGGCCCGCTCACCATCATGAAGGTCTTTAATGATCGTGAGCAAAGGGTCAGGGACTCCAAAAGCACGAAGAACAACCCAGAGCCCAGGCCTACCGATGGTATCATAGGCCTTGACCAGGTCTTGTTGGAATTCCCTACACCTCTGCTGTAGCAGACGGATGTAAAATATGGCATCTGTGCAGGACCACCCTTTCCTGAAACCGCTTTGGGGCTCCAAAAGCCTCTCCTCAGCATGCCTAGCAAAGCGATGTTGAATAATCCTTGCCAGGACCTTTCCCGGCACACTGAGGAGTGAGATGCCCCTGTAGTTGTTACAGTCTGTGTGGTCCCCCTTCTTAAAGAGGGGGACCACCAGGGCATCCTTCCAATCCTGCGGAACCCGTCCAGTGGTCCAGACTGTTGTTATGATGTCATGTAGGGCAGTCTGTGCACAAACGCCACCGTCCCTCAGCATTTCGCTTGGGAAATCATCTCTGCCCGGTGCCTTTCCTGGTCTCAGACTCTGGATCACCTTCAGTACTTCCTCAACAGATGGCACCTCAGCCAGCCACTCACAGGGGGTGACTTCCTCCTACAATATTTGAGGTACCGCAGCCTCAGCAGGGTCATCCCCACTTTGTCCCATGATGTTTTCCAG